CCTGTGCATTAGTTGAAATGTCTCATTTTGCATTTTATTTGGTTTTCGATCTTAGAAAATGATTTGCAAGCCTTTCCTTCTATCCCTAATTTCAAAATATACCGTATTTTCCGGCATATAAGAGGACCCCTGACTTTTCCTGTTAAAATATAGGGTTTGGGCTATACTCGCCGTATAAGACTACCCCTCTTCCAACGCACACCAAATAAAAATTAAAAAACATCAACTGGCTCACCCACAATGTAAAAGCAGCTGTGCTAGACCCAAAATGGCCCCTGCAACAAGCAGGAACCTCACACAGCCACAAAAAGCCCAAAAAAACAACTTTCACACTTTACACACACTTTACACACACTTTACACACACACAACACAACACAACTGGCCCACCCACAATGTAAAAGCAGCTGGGCAGGAACCTCACACAGCCACAAAAAACCCAAAAAAACAACTTTCACACTTTACACACACAAAATTCCACATACAGCTTTGTGAGATTTTGTGTGTTTGTGTAGTTAGAGTGAAACACTACAGAAACACACTAAATCTCAGAAAGCTGCACAAATATTATTTTATTTTATTTTTATTTTTATATGAAAACTAAATTTAAAACTTCCTAAACTTTAAATGGCTAGGTCTAAAAAAGAACAACTAAAAAAAAACCCAATTAACTATTTTTTTTAAAGCTCCCAAAGGCGAAAAAACCTTACCCAATAGAACAGGGGTCTCCAACCTTGGCAACTTTAAGACTTGTAGACTTCAACTCCCAGAATTCCTCAGCCAGCTTTGTTTTGCTGGCTGAGGAATTCTGGGAGTTGAAGTCCACAAGTCCCTTCCTGCTTGATTGCAGGCAGGGAGTGGCTTGCTGATGGAATGGATTCAGGCAAGCGAAGCAAGGCAAGCGTTGCGACTAGCAGCTAAGGTAAGCAAGCTGGAGCGGGAAAACTTTTTTCCTTTTACATGGCTCTGGCGATCCCAGCTGCGTTGCCTGATTAGCAGGCAACTCAGCTGGGTTCGTCAGAGCTTGGATCGCCAGAGCCATGTAAAAGAAAAAAAGTTTTTTCCTTTTACATGGCTCTGGCTATCCCAGCTGCGTTGCCTGATTAGCAGGCAACGCAGCTGGGATTGTCAGAGCTTGGATCGCCAGAGCCATTTAAGGCTCGTCAGAGCCTTTCAGGCTGGTCTGCCAGGTTACAGAACAACACCCGGCGTATAAGATGACCCCCAACTTTTGAGAAGATTTTCATGTGTTAAAAAGTCGTCTTATACGCTGGAAAATATGGTACTTTACGTTGATTGCTATATCTCTCTCTAATGTTCCATCCAGTTTTGCATATTTTTGCAATAGGAAGGATGGGAAGGCATAAGAGTGTTTTTTTTATGATAGAGTTCAATTTGATGAATTTAATTTTTGCTTTGGCTTTCCGGCCTATTTAATACAACATTAGTCTAGTAGGGGAATCTCAGCAGCAAGAGAAACAGATATTGCAGAAAGAGAAAAGGACTTTTAGTATTAACCATTCTTACAGTTTTAAAAAGTAAAGTTGGTATGCAAATATTGAAATAATTTATTTTAGCTTTTTCATACTTCTCTAAGCACTATAATAAAGTCCAGTGTGCTTTACAAATAAGATAGTGATGTGCCAGGAGGCATAAATTAACAAAATGGTAACAGATTCAGTTACCAAGATTTAGTTTTTTTAGACTCATCTTTAAGCTTGACTTTTCCTAAAGAAAAGAAAATTGTTTCTTCTGTTCTACTTAAAGCTGAAATTCTTTTAACTTGCCAAATGTGCTTTTGGGCATGTGAAATTAAGGCAAACTGAAGATAAAAAGGATCACAGGGAGATGTGAAACTTTTTTGTCTGTTTTATTATACAGGCAATTTCCGTGTAGGAGTTCTATAACACAGAGGTCTCCAACCTTGGCAACTTTAAGACTTGTGGACTTCAACTCTCAGAGTTCTGGCAGTCCACAAGTCTAAAAGTTGCCAAAGTTGGAGACCTCTGCTATAATGTGTGAATTATGTTTAATTTTCTAAAACTGGGGCCTAGTTGTTTTGCTGTGTTTTCAGTGATAGGATATGCTCCAGAAGTTGATGTACATTCTAATCCAGTCCATACTTTTTTGGAAATTGGTCCCATTGAGTTCAGTGAAATTACAATCAGGAAATTCCTGGAAGTATTTAACAACCCATCATTTAATTTAATTTAACAACCCATCATTTCTACAAACAGGTACCTCCAAATATGTGTCACTGCCCACACCTTCAGAGGGTGAAAAGCAAAGGGCAGCACCTACTATAAAGGCTATAGTGTCTTTCTTTGTACAAGAGCTGCCTAGCTACTGTTTGGACTCTATTGTCCAAATTCTTTGGAAATAATTTTGTAGCCTTTCCAGCCTAGTGAGCATTCTGGTGAGCATCAACAAGCATCAACAATTATGTTTTGGAAATCCTCAAAAATCTCCTTTGTTCAAACTAGACACACTTCTATATACATGTGTTGTAAAAATTAGGCAGTGAATGCCCAGAACCCTGCTCTTCAAATAAAGTAGAACCACTCATTGTCATCCATTGATTGATTCTAGAGACATATGGCTCTAATACTCCCTTCAAATGAACCGATAACCCTAAAGATTCAGATTCTTTGGCCACCCATAGATATGTAGCTTTAGATCATTATCAATCAAGTATAATGCTTTTGGCTTTTTTGTTTAACTGTGTTCTCTTTAGCTTTAGGGCTTATGTGAAAAACAGGTCACATTTTAGGTCCTATTTATGCAGAAATATTGAAAATATTCACAACCTTTTAACTACCATTATATACCACTTTATAATTAACTATCTAATAGTCTAAATGGGTTTAGAAATGAAAATGCAGGTTTATTTACTAACTTTTATCAGAAATTGTTGAAACGCTTAGGTATTATGTAGCACGGATATAAATATTATAAACATCAAGACTAGCTAGTAAACTATCTGGAGTATGTCTTTCAAAGCCTCTCCAGAAAAGGAAATGGCTGAGATCCATTTTGCATTACAGCTGTTTAAAAGTATTTGGTTTTCCATTCCTTAGTTCTCAAGTTGAGCTGTGTGTCTGCATTTGAAATGTCTTAGGAAAAAGAAAAGGTTTTATCAACAGTAGCTGATGTATAGATCTGATGCCATTGTAATTAATTTATAGCATAGTAAATTGCATTTGCGAACTTTTAAATTTTCTCTTGTTGCTGATACCTTGTTTCTTCTTTTGATTCGTCTCCATGTTACCTGAGTCCTCAGCCAGATATTTTTTACAGATTTTATTTGTAGTTTAGACAACACAATTTTTATAGGGTTTTTTAATTGTTCAGTGATTAAAATCACCAAATGTTCTACAATGTTTTCAACTAATTTTTAAAATAGTTACAATCCAGAAATCTTTTATATAGAATGTCAAATACATTTGAAGAGATACATACACAAAAAAATCTTAAATGGGATTACAAAACATTTTCTAAGAACTTCAAGAATATTCAAGATTGAATATTGGTCTAATTCAAATATTAAGGCAACTTTTAAATAGTCCCAGAGAAATTCTCATCTTATTCTAAGCCATTTTTTTATGCTGAAGTATTTTGTGTAAACTAAGTTAACTACAGGTTATTTGATAAACCTATATTTTTTTATATAATAGGTAAAATAAGAGTACCCTCATCCACCTAGTTTATATTTCTTAAATTATATTTACTTTGCTTATATGCTAACAATTTCAACATAAACCCTCAAACATATAAGAATAAAATCCAAAATAAACTATAAAATCCTAAGAAATAGAAATATCTTGTACCTGTGAATTCTATTTTTAGTCATAATATTGTCCAATATGGAATATGGCAATCTTCAACATTTTCCTAGAGTCCAGGAGAAACAAAGCTGACTCAAGTTTCTTCCATAAAGAAATTCAAAACAGTGGGAGTGGTTACTAAAAAGATCCTCTTCCAAGGATCCCTCTCTCCTGGCAAGCATTGACCCATAACATTGTACAGTACAATGTATTCCTTCTAGCCTTAAGTTATAACTTGATTTGCAACCATAAAACCATGAACAAATTATTTTTGTTGTCCTGTTGTGATTCCATAACCATTTCCAAATACATGATTCTTCTAAAACAAAATGACTAAATGAAATAACATATAGTTAACAAATTAGAGTAGTCTTTTAATTTTATTAATTCATTTTTTTATTATTTCATTGTATTGAAGTCCAGTTAATTGGATCTCACATTACTATGGTAGTAAGTGGTGTATTTGAGAGCCACTTTGTGTTAGTTGGTTGAGAAGAAGGTGTGGTTGTTGTTGTTGCTGCACATTGTATTTATATTGTCTTTTAATTCCTGTTAACTACCCAGATTTGCATTGCTGAGATGGATGGCCATATAAATTCAAATAAGGCATTCTAGATGGAAAAATAGTATTTCTACTTTTGTACTATTCAATTTCTGCTCTCGTGAAACAAATTTATACAACACTGTTCACATCCAGGCACACAAACAAAGCAGATTAAGTAATATACCTTAAAACATGTATAAACAGAAAGTAAATCTGGATTTTCAAGTATGCTGTTTAACAATGAAAGCAACAAAGTAATTCCTTACTCATCTGAAATGAGGAAAGCTTGTAGTTAATAGGGAAGGGGAATCTAACAAAGGACTTGGAATTCTAGGACTCAAATTCCAGGGCCCAGAATTCTGAAATACCATGTATGGGTCTTTTGCCCCAGACTATACTGATAATCAAAGGATTCTTGGGAGCTATTCAAAACCACTTGGGTGAGAAGGGTGGCTATACAAATTAAATCAATATATAAAATTCTAGTGTAAAGATGATTACTCACATCTAAAGTTTATCTGCTTTATGAAGATCAACACACTGATTGTTGTGCAGAATTTTGTGATTATGTCAACCCAGTTGTTATCTTGTTTAGCAGATACCTGTATTAACCATTTGTATTTTCTTTTGCAGGAGATCCATTGCAATGCCGTGCTTGGGTAGGCCAGTGTGCATTGTACATAATTATCATGATGTTTGAGAAAACAATCATAATTATAGTCCTCCTAATACCTCAGTGGAAAGAGGTTTGAAGCTTTTTGTTTCTTTTTTTAAACTATACTCAATAATAAGTAAATTAGCAATGTATTTTTTCTGTGTGTGCTGTATTCTCCAATTTGGTCCTCCAGCTCTCAATGCCATGATCTGGGAATGGAAGATGTAGACCAACACAGTTGAAAAACATAATGCTGGAGAAGATTGCATTAATAAAAGTAATAAAAATATTCATAACTAAGCCTTTAGTTATGCTTAACAATCAGGTTTTAATGTCCTGATTTTACTACATTACTAAAACATAACTGTGTTTCTGTTCATATTAGTAAAATGATATTAAGTTCAAGAAGGCAAATTCCACCTCAAAGTTAGGAAAACTTGCTGAGTGAAATCAGTTACTAAGGGGAACAATAATTTCCCATTGACATGAAATATCCAGGCAGAGGCTAGCTAGACGTTGCTCTGAATGGAACTGCATTTGTTGACAATTTGGGTAGATTTTATTCTATGTGAACTCTAAATTATAACAATATACTTACTGGATTATTTTTTTTTATGTCCTCTACATTAGATGTTCTTCTATTTCTCACTTTTTTTCTCCAGAAACATTTTCTGAATAAAACATACACATATACAAATTATAACTGTATAATAGCAAGTTATATTTCTCATTTCTGGTAAACAACACAAATTATAAGACAAATGATAAAATTTGTGGTTTATTTGACAGAGTTTGGATGATGGTCTAAGTAAATAATCACTTAAAACATTAAACCTCTGCTCTAAAGGGCAGTTCACCATTCCTGTGCATCAATGTCAGCAACTTAAATCATTCCATCGTGCCATAAAATAATACAAAAGGTATAGAGATGAGTTACTTCTCTTTCCTTTTCAGATTAATATTTACTGAGCAAAATTTGCATGAAGCTGATAGGAAAGTTGGTGCTATGATCTGGATGACCTTAACAGCTGAGGCTATATTGTTCAAGGAATTAAAAATCAATAATGTGATTTTAGCAAATGCTATTTAATCACTGTGGATTAAAGCCTGTTAATGTTAATATTCACCTTTTTGTACCAGCATTTAAATCGTGTAGATTCCTGTTTGAAAAGGAAGTAACCCCAATTTTAATGTACTAAAGACACAATCTTTAATTTAATCTAAAGCATTGTTTTCTGCCCAACTTATTCTTCCCAATTGTCTCCATTCTTCATATAGTGCCAGTATAAGCGCAGAACTCAGTTGTATATGTATGTAATTCCATTATATTAACATATTTTTCCTCTTTGCAGATAGCTTTGTTGAACCCTATAGAGAATCCTCAGTTGGAGTTGGCTATTGTGATGCTGATAGTCCCTTTCTTTGTAAATGTTGGTATAAATTACATCTTCTGAATATTTGATCTGTTTTGCAATATTTGGAATCCAAATATATAGTGGCAACATCTAAGATACCTATATGCTAGCCACATAAATTGGACTTGTTTATTTTTTACAATACTAATTAATTCTGGTGTGTAGTTTGTGAACCTCATATTTAATGCATGCAGGGGTATTAGATTATTCCTACATAAACAAACCTTTTAAAAATGGTGATTGTACTTTATGTTTGTGATTTTAAGAAAAATACAAAAGAAAATAATTGTAGGTTACCTCCTTCATTTTGCTTTCATGAATGGAAATAATTATTAGTTGATACTAAATTAACCCACAAAATAAATATACAAATGAATGCAGCATCATTAAAGAGAAATATAACTTCAAATTTTATAAACACAGCAGTAAAACAAAGGGACAGGACAAAAGAAAAAGGGCAATTAAATTAAAAGGGCTGAAGCAGCTAAAATCTCATCTATCATTAGCTGAATTGTTTACATTTTAAACATCTGGAAATAGAACTTTAGGATGCTTTCAGGATATTTTTATCTGCATATTTAAAAAATAGGGAAATTAATCCTGCAAAGATGTTCAGTTGCTTTGTATGTTGTTTGATTGTGGTCAAATCCTGCACATGGCCAAGAATGACAGCCAAAGTCAACCTATCAAAAGAAAGTTTCTTGCTTTGTGGTTTTGTGGGACTCGGGTTCCATGCTAGTTCAGGAGTATATAAACACATTCAAGAAACAATAGGTAAAATTCAAAAACATCAGCAATACATTTATTTTGCATTCTAGATATTTTTACTGTGTCAATTATTTTTTTAAATATTGGTAGTTGCTTTGGCATTTTGCCGGTAGTTTTAATAGTTAACTAGCAGGATTTTATATTTAAAGATTCTGTAACACAATTTATAAATTGTATTTTTAAATACATTTTGTTAGTCTTTGACTTCTTCAGTTCTTTCCAATATATACCACACTTTTATGGGCATAAAAGAATTTGTGCCACTTGCAAATTACAAGTATTGAATAGCTATTGAAATTCTTTTTTATATTTTTTGAGTTTATGAACTTGAGAAAAGATCTAGTGAACTTCAGTTTTAGGATTCCATCTTTCTTAATGAGCCATGTAATTGTGTATATTTAGATAGAGGTTTCTATACTGTATATCCCTTGAATCCCATAACTGTCCAACAATATGAAAGATAAAGGAACTTAACATGACTTCTCCTTTTTAATAGGCATTAATGTTTTGGGTTGTTGATAACTTCCTTATGAAGAAAGGAAAGACAAAAGCTAAACTTGAAGAAAAAGAATCAGGTCAAGATTCAAGAAATGGGAGCAAAATCCGATACAGGAGAGCAGCGTCGCATGAGGAATCAGAGTCAGAGGCAAGTTCTATTTTTAAAAAAAAATTATGTTCCCCTGTTTTCTGTTCATTTTGAGCATCAAGGCAGCCACGGGAAGTAAATAAAACATGGAAGTAAAAATTTAAAAGCAGACTTCAATTCACACTTAAAATCTGGCAAATGTCATGCAACTTTGGTCTTCTCCTTAAGGTATAATGAGTAACTACAGAACTTACCAATTACTGAAAATTAGAAGTAAGTATGCCTCCAACAGCAAGGGCATCTTCAGAAAGGCCTCTCCTACTAATATTAAAGACCCAACATGCCTCTAATAGGGGAGAATATCACTCAGATAGGCAGGACCGAAGGTAATTCAGGGTTGAAACATTAACACCAGAATCTTAAATGTGTCCAATAAGTAATTGTCAACCTGTGCAACTTGTTCATAGGTGGAATTATATGAACTTGGTTCCTTACACTGAATAGCAGCTTACTTATTGCAGGAGTAATTATGGCTAGTTCAGTAAACATTAACAATGCAGACTTGCTCCTTTCAAGATCTATCTAATAGCAACTGAGAACTAAAGCAGCATGCAACTCAGTCCTAGAGACTAACTTCCTAATAACAAATAGTAAATATGTTAATAGAGAATAGAGCAGACACTGCTTTTGATATATAACTGAACATAAATGGCATGGACATAGAAGTTAAAAGATACTGGATTTTAGTGATCTCTCATACAGAACATTTACTTTAATTGGTGTCAAAGGGATCTTCTGTCTCATAAGCAATCACTCAGCCTATTAGAATGGAGAAAAGTACTCAAGCATTTTGTGTCATTGTGTGCAGCGCAGCAAATATGGAAAAGAGGGGAAAAAAGAGACTTGTCTGAGGAAGAAAGGAGTAAGATAATATCCCAGCATGGTAAAAATTTCAACACCATCTCCAAAGAGTTTCATATTCCTGAGACCAAGATTGCTAATATAATCAAGATGTTTAAGGTCCATGGGACCATGTTTGACTGCCCTCAATGTGTCTGCAAGAGGAAAATAGATTCCAGGTTCAACAGAATTATAGTTTAAATGGTGGAGATAGACTTCCAAACAGTGGTGGGATTCAGCCGGTTCGTACAGATTTGGCCGAGCCTGTTGTTAATTCTTTGTGTAGTTCAGCAAACCGGTTCCCACCACTGGCTGTCCCTGCCCTGCCCACCGGGGTTGCCATTCAGGGTGGGGAGGCTGCAGGGGCATGACTGAGAGCTGCACTGATCAGCTGGGAGGCGGCAATGGACCAGCTGCACCAATCACTGGGAGGCTGATCAGTCAGTTTAGTGAGACCTTCCAACTTCCTGAGATCTTTTTCCCCCCAAGAAGTTATAAGTCTGACTGAACCTTTTTTAAATTGGTAGAGAAGACCAGGAATGGTCTTCTCTTGTTGCCCTACACACAGGAGAACGGGGCTGGGAGGCAGGGAGGGAATGGTGATTGTTCTGGAATGGGGTGGAAGTGAGGATTTTGCATTATGATGGTTCTGGAATGGGGTGGAAGTGAGGATTTTGCATTATCTTTGCTCTGCGATGGGGTGGAAGTGAGGATTATCATTGTTTTGGGATGGGGTGGAAGTGAGGAGTTTGCATTATGATTGCTTATAAGTAAGTAAGAACCAGTAAAAGAGGAATGGAAAAATTCCTATCTGTAGATCAGCGTTTTTTAGTCTTGGCAAGTTTAAGATGGGCGAACTTCATGCTGCCTTGGGAATTCTGGGAATTGAAGTCCATGCACCTTAAAGTTGCCAAAGTTGAGAAGCATGGGTCTACACTAGAGTTTAGGATTTTCCATTCCTGTTTTATTTAGAGTTTGGTGCAATTAAATAAATCAGTTGTGGTTTCCTTAACAAATAGTGATTAAAGCGATATGAACCATTACTGGACTTTTTGTGAGAAACTAAAATTAAAAGTTGATCTGGGCTTTGATGATTAGATATGGGATTATGGAAATAATGTAGACAACTGTTAATCTTAGAGTAAGAGTTTGATATATTTTTACTTATATCTGTACCAAAGAAAGTCGGAAGTCATTCTTTTTTGGTTTTTCTTCTTACTCTTTCTTATGCTTTCACTCTTTTCTTTCCTGAGCCTTTCTGTTTTCCATGCTATTTTAATTTGTTTTATTAATTACAAGAGAGTGTAAATCCTAAAACAAAACCAAAGTGTCTGTTCTGTGGACAATGGAATAAAGAACATTTGTATTAGTTTCAATTTATTTCACAACAGATTGGGATTCTGTGGGGAAAAAGTTGAGGTGCACTAATATTTTGGCCATGTCTATAGGTGGGATACCAATTAATTTATTGAAGTTGAATGGTAAGGGTTAGTAGAATTGGGAGTCATAGTTTCCAACTTACTCCAAATGGCTTCCCCAATCAATTTCATGCAGATGTTAAACATGTAGAATAAGATAGAATCTGTTGGATACCACAGATTAAGAGTTTAGATCAGGTGTCCCAATCCCATGGCCCACAGGCTGCATGCAGCCCTGGACAGCTAGTAAGTAATACAACTCCACAAGATTGTAAACTTTTAACATCATTATGTGATTTATGTACATTAACTATATTGTATATTTTATATGAGACCCAAGACAATTCCTCTTCATTCAGTGCGGGCCAGGCAGGCCAAAAGGTTGGACACCCATAGTTTAGGCAATAATTGCCTTCTAAGTCAATTTCCCACCATAGGGCAATAGGAAGCACAGGTACTGCTGCAAAACAGTCCAATCCTACTAGATGATCCACAGCAGAACAACTGATAATTCCAGGAAAGCAAGTAGGTCTTCATCCCTTCCCAGCCTCTGATGCAGTCAGCAGCATAATTCATCCATTAAAGCAACCAAAGCATGTCAGTACCAGAGACCAATTAGAAGCCAAATTGAAATGTTTCTAGATAATCAGTATTGTTCAGATGTGTCTGGAGTGGTGAGATACCACTTTCTTAATCAACTTTCCCAGAAACTAAATGTTTTAGGCTGGATTGCAGTTACCTAGAACTTTTGATCAACAAAGGGTATTTTCAGTAGAAACCTATAACTTATCTCTCTGAATTAGGCAGAGATCACATCCTGCCCCAAAGAACTCCTAATAATTCTCTTAGCTTTATTTATCCTGACCGCTCAGTTCAGAGTCTTTGTGTCTCTCTGTCTTTCTGCACCATATTTATATTTCAATTTCTTAGTATATTCTAAGTGATTTCAGTAGAAACAAATATTCACATATACTTATAAATTAAATTCCTTCAGGTACAGCTGATATGTTCAGAGAAAATAACCAGTTTAAATTATACTTCGAGAAATCATGAAAGATAAAGCTACAAGTTAGTTTTAATGCCAAAATATTTGTTAAGCTATCTTTAAATGTGTGAAATTTGGTATAATTTTAATTGTATGTCTTTTTGTCTTTAGATTCTAATTTCAGCAGATGATGAAATGGAGGAATCTGACGTGGAAGAAGATCTTAGGAGACTGACTAATTTAAAGTCTGTTAAGAAAAAGAAGCATCGCTTTGGTCTGCCTGTATGACAGGCTCTGCAGTCTGGATACTTGCAGGTTAATGAGGGATCTGTCCACCTCAGTGAATTTTCACTTGGCCATAGGAAGCTTGTTGCCTCAAGACTGTGAATCAAAGGGAACACAGACCATTGGAAACACTTACCTGTTCAGTTGCACTATGGAAAATATGCAAGAATCTCTTCTCAACGTATGTTCACAAAATCTTGTCACCACAGTGGTTTAGATGGAGGAGAGCCTTGAGAACACAGACATAGAATACCATCACTTCACTGTGGTTCCTCAGTGACACTCTGAAAATAACAGGAGGATTGACAAACTTTGAATCAGTATGTTTTATCACAAAAAAACCCAGATTTTTGCAGCATACTGCTGAAGAAGAATAGTTTTACAGTTACAAATTAATGGTACCTATGGAACTAATGGACTGCAAAGGTTGCTTTTTTTTTCTTTTCAGATCTCTTCTAACCTGTTTAAACTTTTATATTTAAGTTATATTTTCATACTGGGATATTTAAGGAGTCTCTTTGTCAAAGAAATTGTACTGTTACTTAGTGTGTGGTTAAAAAGGTCAGATGTGCAACAAAAAATGGTTTTCCATTGTCTATATCACATAAAGAAGGATAGTGCAGGGACAAAGGGAAGTGGCATCTGATTGCTTTCTAGAATGAGATGGCCTTGCTCTGAAGAGAATCTGAAGCAAAGAACAATGAAGTGGCAGCAGTGATCACTTTTGAAACAGGGGTGTTGTTCTGTGTGTATGCTGAGCACTTTAGCAGGAAATCAACAAATACAGGGTTTTCTTCTGTATATCAACTAGCCACCTAAAGCTATTTTGATAATAATGGTTTTTTCAGTATTTGCAAATCCTTTGATCTCAGAGCAAAACTATTCCAAAGCTTCAGCAAACATTCCTTGTCTTCAAAAGCTAATGTAGTACAGATAAGAGCATTTTGCTGCTTCTCAGTGCAGTTCAGCTGGCTGCTAGAGAATCCATGAATTACTATGGCTTATTCTCCCTTTTTCTTTTCTTTTTGTTAAGTCTCATTTCAGATGGCTAGGTCAGAGTCAAAGCATAGTATAATGAACATATCTGGTGATTAATGTTAATGTCATTATGGCTGCCCTAGGGTTATTGGGAAGTGTCTCTGTTGATGAAATACTTGTAGGCCTGTTGTTAATTGGGATGTCTGATAGCCCAGTTTATTACTACTTGCAGTGATACTGATGGCTAGTGCTTGTTGGTTTGGTAGGCCAGAGAAAACAGTAGCCAATGGTAGGAAGAGCCAGCTAAATCTGGTTTTGTCCTCGTCCTCATCTCTTGTGAAGATGGTAAAAATATTCAACAGCGGACAGCAGTGCAATTCCTTAATATTGACCTGAAAATATTAATAATAATCTTTTATAAGACAATGGGACAGATATGTATCAGTGTACTTGGTTCTCTGATAATTTCTCCAATCTATTACCTTTTCCAACCATTCCATTGAATATCTATTCCAGGAAAAGCTTAGGGACAGAGTGGTGCTGTCTATATGCAGAGAGAAGGATGTCTTAAGAGTGGTCATCTTGACATGTTTCTTAGTTTTTAATTAGTTAAAAACTAACGGCTTTCCCGCTGCTGTGCTCTGCTCTGAAATGGACAACGACACGTAGCAGACTGGCATATAGTTCTTTACCTCTCCTTTAAGTTACTATAAGCCTGTTACAGCAGAGGAGTATCTATGCTACATTTTAGAAGATCATACTTAAACTATTTTTGGAAATTTGCTGTACCTCTGGGAATGAGAGAAGTAACGTTAAGCACAATGAACACAAATTCTAGATCAGGGGTGTCAGACCTGATCATATCCACGGCCATATTGTGATGTATTGGGATGTTTTTTGTCTTTGCGGAGCCGTGGTGGGTGTGGCCTATGCAGGGCATATTCGGCCCACGGACTGCCAGTTTGACAGACTTGTTCTAGATCTAGGGACCTGAAATTTGTAACTCTTGTCTTTTTAAGAATGGTCCCAGAGATTTCCTTCTAGGTTTTGTACTGACTACTTTCCACTAGGTCAGTTTTATCCTTCCACATATTTATTTTCTGTCCCAAATACACAAAAAGTCCAAACCAAGGGCTTTAAAAAGTTATCAAAATTTCTTTCCTTCCTTATTTACTGCATTTTTAAAAAAAATCAAACTAATGCTGTGCCAAAGCCTGCCTTACAATTTCTTAAATATTTTTTTTCTGTCATATTCTCAAGTTACTTGAGAATTACTTCCCTTGATGATGTTTTTGTTGGAGGTGGGAAAAGCAACTGCTGCTGTTTTCTGTGATACGTTTTTCTATCATTCATAAGCTTCCCTGGCTACTCACCCTTCCCAATCTGAAAAGCAAATGTCAGGCTGAAAATTGAAAAGATTGTTATATAGTTCAAGACGAGATGTTAAATACAACCCTTGGCCGCCACAGCAAAAAATAATGCAAGAACACTATGCCGGAATCTCTCTAAAATTGCTTTTTGGAATAATTTTTAATAATTAATTTTAATTTAATAATTTTTAAATTCTTCAGTTACCAATATAAATAAAATTGCAGATTTCCCCCCCCAAATAACTGACATAAACACTGACTGTCAACCCTTTACATATCTAGTGTTCATATTGTAAGCATGCAAACTTTCAATGAAAAACTTAAGTACTTTATATCTTCTTTCTTAACCTTATTTGTTCAAAAGACAAATCAACGCTTTCTCCAATTGCAGCCCTGAGTTCCAGATGTATTTCCCCTCAATAACTGTTATAACAGGACTCTTCCAAGAAGAAAGAACCTTCCCCTGGTGTGCATAAACAAAACTCTACTGTGCACATTTCTATGGTTAGTCTGGATTAAATTACACATATCCTGCCGTGGCACTAGCATGCACTTCAAAACACTATTTGCAACCATTCTGGCAAACTGACTGGTTAATAGGTTCTATATCCTTCTGTCTTTTCTCCCTGCCTCTTTTCAAATTTATTGAATTTCTAGGCTGCCCAACTCTGGAATGAATTTGAGGCGTTTTCCCATTTTTAAATATGTCTTTCCCATCATCCCTAATGTAAAGAGGGTGTCTGGGGGATGCTAAATCAAGGCCTGGGAAGCAACTAAATGTTTAAGGACCTTCCTAAGGTATATTGGGGGGGGGCATACTCCTCCCTACTGCATTTTCTTGAAAAGAGAGGCTTCCTATGTTTTTACCTTCTTCTCTGGCCCTTATAAGTTGTTTCCTGAATTCTACAAATCCAATGCCAAGAGACTTGCTGAGGAGCAAGATGGCTAATCCTTTGTAGATTGTGGGGTGGCAAGGCCCGACTGGGGGCAGATAACCAAGTTACAGAAGTGCCTCATGAGCCTTCAGGGGCCAGCCCCCATTGATTGTTTGGCTATTTTCCATGCTCATTTCAATCAAACAGCAAGAGATGTCAGGAGAAAAAAAAATCAAAGTAATAATACAGAGAAAGAGAAATAGATAGATTATATTTTGAGCCTTAAGCATATTCATTGATATCTTTTCCAAGGCATTTTGTATAGTTTTGCTATGAATACTTTCTTTAGGAAAGGGCAAGCTCAAGAGGATCCTAGCTTTCAGAGAGATCATTGGCTTAGGATGCAAAAGTGGATTCTTGCTGTTTTGAGTGGGGTTTTCTCCCTTTTTTTTTTTTTTTTTTTTTTGGACTGGAGGTAATTCTACTACGGTGAAGAGTGCCTACTACTCTTAGGGGATGTTCTCAAGGTCCTGTCTTAGAGAAGGACAGACCAGAAAGTGTTGTCTTATTCTACAGTATATTTCCAGAACATTCCTTTTTTGTGTTTAGACGAAAAGAAAACCCAACTATTTATTTGAGTATAACACTAAAAGAAGCTCCTATAAAGCGATAGGGCAGTGCCCCTGATTAATATTGCTTCCAATCATACTGTTTTTAAGTTTTTACCATATAATTTTAATACTATGAATCACTGTTTATCAACCATGACATTTTAAAGCAGGTTTTGTTGTATCAATTCATTAATTAGATAGTAGCATGGTCCTCTTAATTGTATGGCAGAATGAAAACTCAGAAAATGGATTTTTTAAAAAGAGATAATGAAACAAACAATGCCAAACATCTGTTATTTTCTGTTTGCCTTATGAATTTTAATAGTGTGTGTCTAAATGCAAAAAGTTTCTTCATTTTATCCAGTGACGTCTATTGTGTACAGACTACTTTTAACAGTTGGGATAGGTGTGTCGCTGCTGAGGGAGGGGGGGTTCTAAAACACCAAACCCAAAGCCTTAAATGTGTTTAAATAATCCACCATTAAACAGAGTTCAAATTTACTGTTTTGTGTTGAATGGCATTGCCTAGCAGCCTGATTTGAAGCTCAAAAGAAGGAATAATGTTCTAATGAGTCTGTCAGTGCTTTCTTTGTAAAATAATGCTGATCTTTTTCTAACGAGTCTGAGATTCAGGTCTTTCTACACTTAGAAATTTGTAATAGAATGTTGAATTTGCTGGAGCAAAATGGTAGCCTTCCCGTTTGCAAATGACTAAGAAACAAAAATAAGATGATCAAGATTAGCATCCTTCATGAAATCAAGACTTCTAATATCTAACAGAATTGTTTTAGAAATCCTGTGGCCATTAATGCAGCCTTCATTTTTTGACTGCAGTGTTTTAATGTCTCCCCAACTACTCTTAAGTAAAACGTAAAATGTCGTGTACAAATGTTGCTGGTGAAACGTGCGCTAAGTTTCTCTTCAGGGAAAAGACCTCAAACTCGTTGAATTGTGAACCAAACTAAAACAATGCAAAATGTCCCAGAACCATTCTTTCACAAGCAAGTACTTAGGTTTCCCATTAAGCCTTGCTGGAAAAGAAGGGGGCAGGGCCAGAATGTGCAGCCTTACATTTTCTTCTTCACAAGTTGGGTCTTTGTGCTTTTTGTGCATAGCAAATTGCAGATTTTAGCTTCCATATGACAAGGGCGATAATGGTGAGCATACAGTGTGCATCAAAACTGTTGATGTTCAATAAAGGATGGGGAAATTGTGGTCAGTAAATGATGGGGAAATTGTGGTTTTAGATATATAGAAACTCTTGAATCATTTTTCTTTTCTTTTTTTAGATAATGGGTATTTAGTTAATGGGTACTCCTCCAAATTGATGTGTCCATAAATGGGAAAATTTGAGAGAATGAAACTTGGAAGCCAGGAGATGTTCCGCACTGGAAGAAGGGGTCAGAACAGTGATTTTACCAGTTCTATCCTTCTCCACAGCTGCCTCCATTGTTGTCCCATTAAACAACTTTTTAGAAAGCACAAAGCAGAAGGAGGGGGAATAAGAATTGGATCCGGCCATTGCTAGTTAATACACAATGTTTTGGGGGGGATTCAAAATGAAAATGAATGTCAGTCCAACAGCATTAAAAAGGAAACCATAAGGCCCACCAGATCATAATTTTACTGTTGGTATTTTATGAAAATGGAAAGCATATGTGTTGTACCTAAATAATGGTTTACAATAAAATCTGATTTCATACAAAATTGTCATTACTTGTCTTTTAACACATGACCTACATGTAATTTGGGATAGCTTTAACTGGTAGCAGGCATCAGAGTTATAGAAACCTGATGTTGGAGGGAACCATGCGAGCTCAAACCCCTCCTTAACACAGGATCAAATTAGAGCATGCCAGACCAATCAAGCCACCACTCCAATGAAGGGGGACTCATTATCATGCTGGAGATGGCTGATGGACCAATAACAGATCCCATCTCTCCCCTGTACATTCTGCTTTCTCCCTTCCCATCTTTGTTATGTCCTGTATTTTTATTGTGGTTTTATATATATGGTTTTATATAAAAATTATATAAAACCAATATATATATATATATATATAATATAAATATATATATATATATATATATATATATATATATATATATATATATATATATATATATATATATATATATATATATATATTACTTGTTTTCTGAGGTTTTCGTGGGTGTTTGTATGTAGGTCTTTGGTTATTCGAGTTTTCTCCCGCGTAAAATTGGAGGCTTCTTGGCTACTTCGTCGAAACGTTGCCAAGAAACTTCCAATTTTACGCGAGAGAAAACCCGAATAACCAAAGACCTATATATATATATATATATATATATGTTTTTCCTCTAGCCAGGTTTTTCCTACGTAACCAAGGTTTTTCTGCAGCCCTAGCTCAGTGGAATCACATCCACTTGATTCTGGGCTTTTTTCTTTCTGGCAGCCAGCAAGTTCTTGCTGCCAGATGAGAGACTTATATAGATCTATTTCTGATCACTATTTTCTAGGCTTTATCAGACATTTAAGCAGCATTATGTTGTCTGCTGCAAGACTTAAGGGAGACTAAGATAGATCTATTTCGGCCTTATAAGGCCTCATCAGTCAGTCAACCCTGGCTAGAACAGTAATGCACATATAGACCTACGAAAAAAGAACAAAATAAATATTTGACCGTTACAGGGAGGAGTCATAAAATGAGGGTGTGGCTGACTGATGAGGCCTTATAAGACCGAAATAGATCTATCTTAGTCTCCCTTAAGTCTTGCAGCAGACAACATAATGCTGCTTAAATGTCTGATAAAGCCTAGAAAATAGTGATTTGGGATGTCACTTAACTATGGCAATACAAACATCTTGATTTACGTAGGAAAAACCCTGGTTAGAACAGTAATGCACAAGATTTATTTCTGATATTCAGGTGGAATTGCTTTCCAGTCGGTTTAAATCTTTTGTTCTGTATCCTGCACCTTGTTATCATTCTAACAAGTCTTCACTTCTGTATGATTTAATTTCAGGTGGTTGAAGAGTGTTATATTTCTTACCTCCAGTCTTGTCACAAACTAAATGTCCCCAGCTATTCCAGTCTCTTTTTATTCTTTACTTCTTAAACTGCTCTATCCAGAAATGGACATTCAAGGTGGAATCTGAAGAAAGTAGAATATAGTAGAATGATCACTTTCTTTCATTTGGAAAAAATATAGCTTTATCGATATAGGCTTAAACTGCATCTGCCTTTTTTTTTTTTTGTAACCACATCACATATGTTCCATTTGCAGTCAACAAGTATGTTTTTTCTTCCATAAGAACTATTAACATTATGTATACTTATCCTATAACTCAGTTTTTACAACCCTTTAATCCCTTAATTTGGGTTATAGTTGGGAGACGGGATGGAACCGAGTGTTTACTGGCTGGATGCCTTTCTTGATGCCATGCAGAGTTAACAGCAGATATTTTTTCTTTGTGCCCTAGGAGAGAAACATCCATTACTTAGGAATTAACTCTCAACCTTCCAAGTGGGAGGTGAGTGTCTTCACCACTAGGCCACCATGCCATTCTAAGCTTATTCTATAACTATGTTTGTGATTTCTATTTCAAAATGGGGGGAAATGCTCTTGTATCTCTTAAATATAATTATGCTAATATAAGCCTGTTTCTCTCAAAATCTTTTGGACTTTCTTTCTTCCAAAGTATTAAATAATCTCCAGATTCAATGAGCATTCCCTGTACTTCTTCATCCAAGACATCAAGGTATACCAACTAGAAGTACTGCAAGCCAATTTAACTTTTTAATGTATTCGTTAATTTGGCAGAATCACCCTGAGATTGTGGAGTTAAAGGACTCAGGATGATCCTGCCAAATGGACTAATATATTAAAAAGTTAAATAGGCTTGCAGTACTTCTAGTTGGTATATCTTGACCCTATTTGATTAGTCAAAAATGTGCTGACTGCTAGGCTGTGACTAAGTTGTATTTAAAATTATGAAAATAATTAGAACCAGATTATTTCAAAGAATATCTCCATCTATAATTTTAAAGAGAGGTTCTGCCAGCGATGTTTGGGCTTATAACTTGACTTAAGGTGTGTTAAATCATAATGTAAGAAATCAGTTTGTCCTTTAGTAATTTGCTGATTTTTCAGAATGTTTTTAAAATGCTCTATTAAAAAACAAAAAGAGTTAAAATATTAATATAGCTGGAATTCATAGAATATTTTAAATAAAAGGAATGTTGACTTTTCACTTGGTATCATGTCACGAACTACTTTCCATAACAACTTGAGGTTCAACAGCAGTTTGCTGATACCTTCCAATCGCGTACTGAATTAATTGTGTAGGTCTTGTGAATCTCAACTGAGATTAATAGCTCACAGAGATATAATTTTTAATATTTTTGTAGTGATTTTTTTGAAAGTTTCTTTCATCAAGCTTGTTTTTTAAAAAACTTATTTTCCTTGCTCATTCTTTCCCCTTTCGGGGGCATTGGAGGTAACTTGTCAAATATATTCCTTATTATTTTTTTTTCAGAATTAAAAAAAAGTATGATGGAAGTTTCATGATTTTTATTTTTTCAAACAAACTAGCCCCCCCCAAAAAACCCACAAAGATAATTGATCGACAATTTGAAAAAAGAGAATACTCAGAATTTGTTACACAAGCTTTCAAGATCTTCAAATCTAATCAGGCAAGATGGTACAGCCAAAAGGTGCAGAGGGGAAGGGAAAAGGGGCCAAAGAAACTACACGTAATCAGCCTTCAAATGAAATGTGTGAAGAGATTTGCAGCCATTCCTGTGACACTATCAAGTGCTAAAGTAGTAAGAGATTTCAAAGTTTCTGGCATTCCAATCCCTTTTGGATTTCAGCAGCCCTCAAGTTCTCTGTCAAGTTCAGTCAAGTTCTCTGCCAGCCTGTGCAAGAATTAAGGTGTGCATGAGGTTTCCAGCCTCAGTCTTCCTGATGAACTCTATCAGCCCCAAACCTCTCACTACCAACTCTCTGATCTTCCCAGTGCTTCTGCACTCCTTCCATTAGCCCACTAACTCTGCCAAATTTACCATTCTGTTTGAGCTTCATTTGAAAACCTAAGAAGTTCTTATCCTCGTTTAAATTTCTTCGTACTCTTCCCCATAGTTTGGGAACCCCTATGCTATATGATTAGTGATATCTGTTTCTTGGAAAGAATGCATGCACTGCTCAACAAGTCTATTCTGTGAATAAGAGGAAGTTTAAATATGAGCTCACCAGTGGGCTGTACAGGATCCCTCCTGTACCATCTGCTATGCTCTCTTCCTTGTCTTGTTGTTCTTTTGCAGTTGGGTGACTAATAAATTTGAAGAACTAAATGAATAATTGAAAGGAAATGAGAAGCTGGCATGTTACAAAGCAAGTGCCAATTGTTGCATCACTTTAATGTTCCTAGTGATATTAGAATTTTTTTTAAAAAAGTTGATGGTTGTATCTGAGCTTTTATTTAGACGAGGGTCAAAAATAATTTGGAAGGCTACTTGTGATTGGTGGGAGAAGCAGAGGTATCACAAATTTGCTTTCTGAAAAACAGCCTGAAAGTGGTTATTAATTTCATGACAGCCAGCTATTAATAGAGAACTTTCCCCACCCTGTTCCTCATGTCTCTGGCCAGGGAGTCAAATGACAGTGCACCCCAATTTAAATACTTCTGTCAGACATTGAGTGTTCTGACCTAGGCTTCCTTAGAAAGCATGAAGCGAAGTCTTAGTCCCACAAAACCTCTTTTATTTATCCAATTGTAAATTACTTTCATTTACAGTCCACAAGGCTTGATAAACTCTCTTTCAGAGGAAAGTTATCAACACCCACCTATCTCACGTGGAATGCTGCCAGAGAGCTAATTTCCAGATGCAGGCCAAGGTCAGACTTGGCACAGAGTCACAAAATCTTGAATGAACTAATTGCTTCCTGCAAAAGCTCACATCCCGTTCGCTCTTCTTTTATGTCTTATGGGAGGAGCTAATCATCTCCAAGCCTTACTCCCAAGTCGTTCCTGTTTTCTTAATTGTTCTTGTCTTCTGGCAGCTCTGCACATGCGTATACTGGGAACAGGCTCCCGCTGTTCTGCCTCGCTGATGTCAAGACTCCGGAGGCTGCACATAAGTATCAGATGGACTTGGCCCCCTCTCTGCCTCTGATGCAGAGCCCTCATCCAAGCTTTCCCCAGCCCCCAGGACTGGCCCAAGTTCTTCCCCAACCTCCTCACTGTCCGACTCTGCTGCCAGCTCTGCTGGCCGCCAGCAGGCCACAACATTGAGATGCAAGTGTCATGCACCACAGAAATCAGAAGATACAGGCAGTTCAAATGGGTATAAAGATATATTGCAAATTTAATCTCTCTACAAAATTCTGAACTACTAATGGTCCAAGCAAATTTAGCAGCAGATGAGAGTTAAAGGAATTCAAAGTGGGTTAGATTTAGACCTCTGGTGGGCATGAAGGGACTCATTGATAACACATTTGATTGATAACACATTTGACCCTTCCCTCAGGCTCAGCCTGGTCATTTCCTACAGCAAGTATGTAGTCATGGCATTTTCATGTTGATCTTGTGTGCATGTCATCATTTTGATGTCATTGCTATATGATACAGATGTCATTTACTCCCCCATAAAATCCAGTTTGTTTAATATGCCAAGTTTGCCCACTGGCCTAAATCATGGGTCTCCAACTTGGCAACTTTTAAGACTTCAATTCCCAGAATTCCTCAGCCAGCCATGCTGGGAATTCTGGAAGTCAAAGTCCACAAGTCTCAAAATTGCCAAGTTTGGAGACCTGTGGCCTACATTAAAAAGCCCGCCTTTAAAGATTGTTTTCTCCATTCTTCCCATTCCCTTTAATACCAAAATAGGGGATACATAACTGGGAACTCATGGAGATTAATATTGCTATGGCGATACTTGGGATCAGCATTCCCTTGTGTATTTTATTTATAACCAGGTTTTAACACTTTCACTTGGACAGAAGTGGTGGCTGAATACAGAAATGTGAGTTTGTGTAGAAAAAGAATGTATGGAGGAGGGAGCTTACAAAACTTAGAAGAAAAAGAAGACCCTCGTCTCCCGCTGAACTATTTTTGTCCTAGTATTATTTACTCATTTATAATCCATCTTTGAAAAGAGGTGGGGGGTTGCACTGGGAGCAATTAAGCTTGACGATATAAGCAATAAAAAGAACAGCTTAAAATACATCAGCTTTAAAAATAATGAAGCAGAACCTAGATATCTGGGCACAGTAAATGAAACTTAATTAGAAAAAGTGTTGCATAATAAAAGTTTTGTGGAGGGAGGGATACCAGAAACAGAAAAAGGAAGGGCTTGGAAGATTTTGCCTTAAAAAAAGCAGTCCCCAAGTTCTTCATTTAGATCAGTCAAAAGAACAAATGAAAACAATCAGCTATGCTGGATTTCTTGAAACAGAGCAAGAGAAATTATGCAATGTTTGTTATGTGATCTAACATACGTTAATTTCAGGTTTTTCTGCAGGTACTGGACGCTCTTCTTTGGAATGTAATCTCTATAGAGGACTGGAGAAAACAAGGAAAAGCACTTGGAGAAACATTCCATAAAAGTAAAGGAATACTGAGAATTTGGATTTGCTATAGTCAAACTGAGGCGGGGACGACTGGCGGCTGAGGAAAGATCCAATCCACAGCTGCTACTTTTGAGGTGTTCTAAGACTGTTCTCTCTCCTCTTTAACAGCTACATGAGGCTGCTGGATGAGATGATCTGATGGTTTCAGTTGAGTTTGTTATTTTACAGACATGTAAAAAAAGTAAATTGGTACTCTTAGAATAGTGATAGATTATAAAAAGCCACTTGAACAAAGAATGGATTATCCATCACCCAAAATACAAGAAATATTTGCATCGAAATGATTTTCTATACTAGACCAGAAGAATGGATATTGTTCCTAAATAAATAAATAAACAAACATGCAGGTCATCCAAAGCTTGCTTTCCCTATACAGGTAGTCCTCCACTAACAACAGTTCATTTAGTGAACATTCAAAGTTACAGCAGCATTGAGAAAAGTGGCTTATGACCGTTTTTCATACTTACAGCCACTGCAGCATCTGCATGGTCATGGGATAATAATTCAGACACTTGGCAAGTGGCTCATTTATGACAGTTGCAGTGTCCCAGGGTCATGTGATCACTTTTGCAACCTCCTGGCAAGCAAACTGTCACTGCGTTTTTGTATTTACCAGATGAGCTCTTATTTTTGAACTTTCAGACTTACCGTAGCTTGCCAACTTCTTATCAGTAACTACTGCGCATGTCTACATTCTTTTCTTCTTCTCTAAAACTTTCTTTGTTCTCCGGCCAGGAGAGGTGGCCGGGAAAGTTTTGCCAAGATGTAACTAATTAGCTAGTGAGATGTTTTATTTTCTTTATAACAAATAAATGAGTTTTTCTTAGAAAATATATCTTTGGGTTTATTTTCTTAACATATACTTCAAGGAAAGGTCACCATCCATTCTCTAATCAAGGTGCAATTACCCAAAAGCAAAATGGGATTAATTGCCACCCTGACACAAACTCTATGGGGAAGTCAGATTCTCTTAACAACCATATTACTAACTTAACAACTGCAGTCATTCATTTAACAACTGTGGCAAGAAAAGCCATAAAATGGAACAAACTTTTTAAAGTTTGTTACCTAACAAATGTCTCACTTAGCAACATAAAATTTTGGGCTCAGTTGTGGTCGTAAGTCGAGGACTACCTGTACTGTCTAGCAACTGACCATTTAAATTGATGCCACCCAGATTAACAATCATACCTGGTCCAGCCACTTTAAAATAATGAAAGAAAAAGTTATACTTGGTTTAAATCTAACCGAAATAGGTAGAAAAAAAATATCGAAGATTATATCTACAGTAGCTTCATTGTGCTGCATTTTATATTGGGCAAAAATCTGGCGATTGAATAGTCTGCTTGCAAAGTTAAAGCAGTTCATTCCAGTTGTTTGCAAAATGGCTGGTAGCTCTGTGAACTTCAAATGTTTATCTTGCTTTACCAGTTCCTATGCCATTTAGGGACTTAAAGGGATATAAGCACATTAGATTCAAGCTGCATACAAATCAATGCAAATGTCAGTTGACATTTAGCTCTTGTTTGTACCATAGAAATTATTTCTGAACTAGCTATAGTTTTTGGACTATTTAACAGAAGTTGAAATCCAACCTAAATAAAATCAGTGGCTGGCTAGGGTCTCACTAAGTCAAAATGTGATATGTTTCTGATTCACCTGTAGAAAGTGTTCATCCCAGGATTAATATCATGACAGATGTTTCCTGCTTCAGTTGACGATCAGCAAGTTTTTGTAGCTATTTTATTCTTGTACATTCATGGAGCATCTGCAACATAAAAGCATTGCCCTTTATAGCTATAAATAGATGGCCACAGGGCTTCCTTTGAAGATATACTTGTTCCTAAAGAAAGGACGAGGCTTCTGTATAGTTCTGCTAGCCCAGCTGTCTTTTCTTGTCACTTGTAATGTTCCTCTCACTCCACTCATACAGTTTATTAAATGCTATAAACTTCAGTCATTGCTAAGAATAAACCTCTCGACAGTAACATGTTGTCAACCTTAAACACTCCAGAAGCTAGTCTGGGAAGATGACCATGTAGAATGACTTCATAGAAGAGCCTATATAAGCTAAAGGAAGTAGGTTACTGCAGAATTTGGATATTAATCCAAGGAACTACAAGCTCAGAATTTTTACAAGTGAAACAACAATGTCCCAGGTATGATTGTTTTTTTCCCCCCCTACTGCTTAATTTACAAAAATTATCATAGTATTGCTAAAGGAAACTGTAACCCTGATGGATTTAGTTATTGGTAAGAAATGAAAGAACTCATTATTTATTTTCTGCCTCACTGATTTTTTGCTTGCAGAGTCTTACTGGCATCTTTGGTGCAGTAATAAATGTGTCTTCGTGAAAAATTAGCTTATAATGATTTTAAATTAGAGCAGTAACCAAAGTATGGCTTAGCTTTCTCTTTTTCTCATAGAATACATTTAAAACTATAGATCAGTGTTTTAAACACTTCAGTCCTATTACTCAATAAAATGCTTTCATCTGCAACTGTGTGCAGAATTCCGCTTTGTTTACAATATGCAACAAATTTGTTTCTTCCTTTTGCTTGAGGGTTTTGTTTGCTGAATGCGAGATCAAAATTCTTAGGGTTGGTTCAAGAGCAGAAGGTTCTATTAATTTCTAACAGAATTAAGTTTATTTTGGCAGCAAACCTCTAGAGTATTGAGATTTATTATTTGATTAGATATCTGCAGATCTGAAGTTTTTTCCATTGTGTTGGAAAAGGATGAAACGTAGAGATATCCTCTATGTACTTAGGGAACATTCGTGTATAAAAGCAGGGAACTTCTTAATGCAAACAGAAAGATAGAAGGAAATCTGGGAGTAGGATTATGTACACAGGAGTGCGTAGCAACTATTTAGAAACTCCTGGGAGAGGCTATATAAAGAAGTGCAGCTCTAAATCTTTTGATTAATACTTTCGAATTGTGGTGCTTGAGAAGACTTGAGAGTCCCCTGGACTGCAAGGAAATCAAATCAGTCAAATCAACCCTGACTGCTCCTTAGAAGACAAATGCTGAAGCCTGAGCTCAAATACTTTGGCCACCAAGTGAGAAGAGAGGACTCATTGGAAAAGACCCTGATGTTGGGCAAGATTAAAAACAAAAGGAGAAGTGGGCTGCAGAGAATGAGATGGTTAGATAGTGTTATGTGTAATGAACATGAATTTGGTCAAACTCTGAGAGACAGTGGAGAAAGAGGGGACATGGTGTGCTGTGGCTGCGAAGAGTTGGACATGACTAGCAACTGAACAACAAAATCCTAAATCAAAGCTGAAAGGAGCATTGGAGAACGTATATTCTTCATCTGACTGTCTCAGATAAGTTGTAGAATAATTTGTTACTGGGTATGCAAGGGGAGGAGAGGATTTTGGCAAAATCTTGCCAATCATTGCATGTTATTTCTATAACTCTGGGAATAGTCTCACTTGGAGAGTGGAGACTGATCTTGGATCTTGTTTCTCCCTTGGGATTTTTATTATGGGAAATGGTTTATTCTGCTCTTTTGATGCATGCTTCAAAAAGCCAGAAAAACATATTGCTATCAGCTTGTAGCTGTCCTAAAACTCTTCTAAAAATTTGCATTATCCATTAAATATTATATATTATGAACAGGAGATGTATGTCTGTACCATTCTATACTTATTTTCAGTCATTATTATACAAGACTTATGCTGATAAACACAAAATACCCAGTATGGACATGGCAGTAAGTGGGAATGAAGAAGGACACCATATTAAATCAAAACTGTAGGACTGAAATTTCTGTGGTTATTATTCCTTCACTTTATTGCCAAAATGAAAATTGAAGGACTACTGGAGGGGCACAGTACTGTAAAACAAATTTGCTTTTCTATTGTACTAAAGGTTGGCCAGTGAGCAAAACATATCATCCACAATTCCAGGACATCAGTCTTCCCAACCTGATGCCTTGAGGTCCCCATAACATCCAATCACTATGGCTAATGCATATAGTTCTTAAGATTACAAGAGTTGAAGTCAAACATTTTTAGAGGACATGAGATTGGAAAATTCTCATTCCAGTTACCTATTAGTTGACATCAGGGGTGAAATGGTACCAGTTCAGACCAGTTCTCCTGAATCAGTAGTAAAAAATGCTACCGGTTTGGGTGAACCAGTATTTCCGACTATCAGCTGGGTGGCGATCAGCTGTGATGCGTGATTTATATTAGCTAGAATCATCGGATTTCCTGCTTTCCAGCTAATCTGAATCGCGTGGCACATCAGTTTTCCCCCACCCCTCACTGTTCTACTTACCTTTGCAGACTCAGGCGGCTTCAAAATGTTCCTTTTTTAGTGCTGCATGGGTGTGCCTTAGGTGCGCATGTGCAGGCAAAGCGCACATTCAGTAGCAGACCCACAGAACCGTTGGCAGACTTCAGAGGATTTCACCGCTAGTTGATGTGATTATTATATGTAACATATAGTGTAACATATAATGTCCATGGGACAAAGGATTTTTTTCTCTCTTCATTTTTTTTCACATATATGTAGCCAAAATAAAGAGTGCAAAACAATGGAGTGAGAAGCTCTCCTATGCTCATGTCTGGTTCTGTGCTGTACTCCCAAGACAGCTCTATTTTTTTTCACTACGAGTTTCTTTCATTTTAACATAAATTGTAACTTAACAGAATAACAGATAGGAAGGGAACTTTGAGGTCTTCTAGTTCAACCCGCTGCTCCAGCAGGAAACCCTATACATTTCAGATAAATGGTTGTCCGATCTCTTCTTAACTTGATTATCTTTTTTATACTGGATGTATGTCCTAAAAGCTCTCTACATATACCAAGGAACATCTAATTATCTTCATTTTTATTACTTCCTATAAAACATGCATGAACCAAATGTTGATCCTAAAAGAAAGCACCATGTTAAAGTGAGATGGTAAAACCAACAGTCTGCAAATTGAGGATAACTATCACGGCTGACATTATTTAAAATGCAAAGAGGCAGACGGGTTATACTGTCTCTGTTCAATATTTTAGATCTCCTTGGCAAGTCTTTCAGCTGAAACAGATGGTCTTCATTCTGCTGAATATAAATCTACAGCAATTTATCTGACTGATGTTTTTTTATATGGGAATGATGGTAACTTAACTAAATTTAATCAACCTTGATGTGTATGACTACATGGAGGCAGGTAGCAATTTTTTAAAAAAAAAATCAATATCTAGCTACCCATTACACTATTCCATTTTAGGATAAGCAGTGTGAAATGGAGTACACAAGATATAACAAACAGTATCCTATAAATACGGGAAAAAAAGGAATCATAACTAAAATTATTCCAGTATTCCAATTCTATTTTTTATGCCACTAAAGAGTTTTCTATCTTCTACCATACTTACTTCTTACAGCAACAATATACTGTTTAATAAAATGCCTTTTGGTCTTTAAATTTCTCACCTTTTTTTGCAGAATCTCACCATCAATCTCTATCCAACCACAACCTATTTGGTCTTCTTCTTGATCTATTCTCTCCTTCCTATACTTATTTTGCAAAGAAATTCTCATTCATTTTTTCCATAAGACAAAACGACTTTAATGTACTTTTTTTCACACTCTATTCCTTTTTCTATTTAGCTGACATTCACTATTCATTCTTGACTCTTATCTGTTCTTGTTATATCACACCTTTCTTAACTATCACATTTCAATATTTATGTTTCTCCTGAAATACACAAATATACACGTAGCAAAGTGAGCAACGGCATTTTAGTTTCCTACAGAAACAGAGCACATATTTTTCACTATCATTCTAACAGCATTTGGACATCTTCAAACTTCTCTGGGCATTTTTAGTGGACACATTTCAATACAAAAATTCATATACTTGCTCTAAATTTTCTCCATAAGTTGCAAACATTCATTCCATTTTTCCGTGAAATACAATTATCTTAGTTTTTGATAGATTAGATGTTCATATCTATATTCCACATTGCACCTAAAGTTTGCATCTAATATTTTCTAAAGTATTCAGGTTCTCATTTCAGAATATGGCATATGCATACAAGAATACATAATGTCCAGGGCCGGATTTAGATTGAAAGAGGCCCTAGGCTATTCCACTTATGAGGCCCTTTCACCAGTGGTGGGATTCAATTTTTTAACAACAGGTTCTGTGGGCGTGGCTTAGTTGGAGGTGTGGCTTGGCAATCATGTGACTGGGTGGGTGTGGCTAGCTGGTCACGTGACTGTGTAGGCGTGGGTAGCTCGTCATGTGACCGGGTGGGCGTGGCTATGTGCATAGACTTTTTTCAGAGGGCTGAAAAAAGTCATTTCTGACTGGGCCTCGCACTTTTGACCGGTCCTCACACTTATGACCATCCTCACATTTATGCCCGTGCAGCTTTCTTAACAACCATGTCACTCATTTCACAACTGCTTTTCTTCACCATGGTGACAAGATAGGGCAAAATGTAAAATGTGAGGACAGTCGTAAGTTCGAGGACTGATCAAAAGTGCGAGGACCAGTCAGAAATAACTTTTTCAGCCCTCTGAGTAGTCCATATGCATAAAAGGATACAGCAATAGAGAGGGATGAAGGAAGGGAAGGGAAATTAGAGTAGGAGAGAGAGGGAGGAAGAGAGGAGGAGAAGGAGAAAGGAAGAGGAAGTAGGGAGGAGAAGAAGAGGGGGAGGAAGAGAAAGTAAGAAGGAAAGAAAAGAGAGGTGGTAGGTTTGAGGAGAAAGATTGCTGTACAATAAAAAAGATGAAAGGGAAGAAAGCCAACCCCAAACAAATATAAAGATATTAAGATAAAGAATGAATTGTTAAACTTTAAAGAATAAAAGAGAACAAATATGAATAAATAACAATAATTAGAAACACACATACAAACATACAATGTATTTTCTTTGAACAGAGTATTTGGCCGGTTCACAAATTTAAACAGTGTTTAGTCATTTTAATTTAATTTACAATTTCTATATTTCCTTTTTGCCATATTTATTCCTCATCTATTTTTGTAAAAAACCAATATTACCCTCATCCTCATCTCTAATCTTAATCAAATTCAATTTTTCCCTTCTATTCTATATTATACCCCTTCCCATTGTCATCTATTTTTATATCCATCCTCACATTGGTTAATTATGTAATATTACAGTTGTTTAATATCAATTCAACATTTTAATATAAATCAATTAGTTATATAACTACCTTTTTTGTATATTAATCAATATGAACATGAATATTCCAATTATTTCCATGCATTCCAATTTCTTACAAATCCATTAATTATATTTACCAATAATAATAAACCAAATAATTTCCCCCATATATTCCTCCAAACCACAACTTAACCATTTCTGCTTTCAACACAATATACAATTAATAGTATCTCAATTACTACAATTCCCTAGTTAAATAGAGCTTTTTTTTCTTTTGTGTTTTAAAATCCTGAACTCTCCTCTTTTTCCCTAAATTTTCCATTGTTTGCACCTACCTTTTTTGGCGAGGAAAAAGAAAAGAATTCTGCCTGCCTAATTTTCCAACCTTGCAGCAACAGCAAAGCAGTTTCACTTTCGTTTCTCAGCATAGTTAGGGGGGAAAAAATCAACACTCTTTGCAAGGAAGCAGCTCCCTGGGCCAATAAAATTACAAAAAAACCACTGAACCCTTTGTTAAATTGCTGGCTCCCCCGCCCCTCGCCCCTCGCCCTATTTATTGGCAATAAATAGTGGTGCGGAGGGGCGGGGCAAGCCAGCAATTTAACAAAGGGTTCGGCTGCAGCACTGGCTCTAGGGCGGCCCTTTGAAGCCCCGAGGCAAGAATTTGAAGTTTTTTTTTCCTCCAGCCATCGGAGGCAGCAATAGATGGCGAGTGGGCAGGGTAAGCGAACGGCAGGCGATCCAACAGAGCAGAGAGAGGGAGGGTGAGTGAAGGCGTGGAAGCTGCTTTCTCCATCCTGCTCTCTTGCGTCCGGAGCCCACGTGGATCCCAGGCAGCGGAACTCAGGCTAGGGAAGGGGTGGGCAATTGTAGCTCTTTTACAACCTGTGGCCTTCAACTCCCAGAATTCCTCAGACAGCCAAGCTGTCTCAGGAATTCTGGAAGTTGAAGTCCACAGGTTGTAAAAGAGCCACAATTGCCCACCCCTGGCTACGGTAGGCTGGCGCCGCGCGGGTGGGAGGCGAGGGGCGGGCGAGCCAGCAATTTAACAAAGGGCTCGGCCGAACCTTCTAGAACCCCCAGAATCCCACCACTGTGTAGGCCCCTCTTGATCTTGAGGCCCTAGGCTGAAGCCTAGTTAGCCTATAGGAAAATCCGGCCCTGATAATGTCCATGCCTTCAAATAACTCCTGATGTCCTCAAAAGCATTTCTCGTATATTTATCCTTAAACACATTAAACAGTCATCAGAATGTCAAATATTCTTTTCTTATTCCTAGCTCAGTGTCGAACTATTCACTAACCATTATATCCTGGCACATGTTTTATCTCCATTGTATTTCTTTCTTACCACATTCAACTGCATACTTACATAAAAGTATTTTAGCCAATTTGTTTTTTCATATCCTTTGTCTAAGTGAACAAATGTATCATAAATCTCTATTCTTTCTTTCATACAATTTTAAATGACCTTCAGAAGAGCAAAACTCTGGTTTGCATACTGCCTGGCATAAAGCTGCAATGCATTCTCCAAATTGTCCTATGATGTATAATTTTGACAAATAAGATACTTCGATTGTCTGTTACAATTAATAGCAGTAGCACTTAGGTTTATCTACCGCTTCACAGTGCTTTACGGCCCTCTCTAAGCGGTTTACAGAGTTAGCATATTGCCTTCAACAATCTGGCTCCTCATTTTACCCACCTCAGAAGGATGGAAGACTGAGTCAACCTTGAGCCTGGTGAGATTTGGGCTGCAAAATTACAGGCAGCCGGCAGGCAGCAGAATTACCCCGCGGTACTGCATTCTAACCACCGCACTACCTCATCTTAAATTACACAACTAGCTCTTCAGGACGTCTACATTTAATTCAGATGTCAAGCAATAAACTATTTTCTGTGCCGATATTTAAAGATTCCTAAATACAGGTAGTCCTTGATTTATGACCAGAATGGAGCCCAACATTTCCATTGCTAAGTAAGACAGCTATTATGTGAGTTTTGCCCCATTTTATGACCTTTTGCCATAGTTGTTAAGCAAATTGCTGCAGTTGTTAAGTGAACCATGTGGTTATTAAATGAATCTATTTTCCCCATTGACTTTACTTGTCAGAGACCATCTGGGAAGGTCACAAATGGTGATTGCAGGACTCTGGGACAGTGCAACTTTCATAAATATTTGCAAGTTGCCATGTGCCCAAATTCTGATCACGTGACCAGGGGGATGCTGCAAGGGTTGTAAGAGTGAAAATAAGTCATATTTTTCAGTGTCATTGTAACTTTGGTCACTATATGAATGGTTGTAATGGCCATTACAACCTGTATGGCCATTTCTGTGAGTATATGCCTTTTCAAAGGCCCATTGTTAGAAATTTTGTTTCATTATACAGAATTGGTAGCAGAGGATTATTATATAGAAATAGCAGATTGGTAGCAGAGGACATTTACGTAGGCATAAAGGTAAAGATAAAGGTTCCCCTCACATATATGTGCTAGTCGTTCCCGACTCTAGGGGTCAGTGCTCATCTCCATTTCAAAGCCGAAGAGCCAGTGCTGTCTGAAGATGTCTCTGTGGTCATGTGGCCAGCATGACTAAATGCTGAAGGCGCACAGAATGCTGTTACCTTCCCACCAAAGGTAGTCCCTAATTTTTCTACTTGTATTTTACATGCTTTCGAACTGCTAGGTTGGCAGAAGCTGGGACAAGTAACAGGAGCTCACTCCATTTCACGGTGCTAGGGATTTGAACCACTGAACTGCTGACCTTTCTGATCAACAAGCTCAGCATTTTAGCCACTGAGCCACCGGGTCCCTGTATACATAGGCATACAGATCAAATAAAGTGTCTACAGTCGCCATGGGCCTTGCTGCTTAACGGTTTCAACTGTCACAGGAAACTCTCCTCAGAACATAAAGGAGCAATAGATTATAACCATAGATGCAAACAAAACACTGCCATCTACTGGCTAGTTAATTCTGTAGTTGCTGCAATACAAAATATATTCTAAAATGTATTCCAACACCCATACAGGAAGTTTTCAACTTGCAACCATTAATTTAGTGACCAAAGTTACAATGGCACTGAAAAATGTGACTACTAATTTCCTTGAAGAATTGTACTAGAAGTCTACACTAAAAACATGAGATATTTTACTAGAAGAGTACTCAAATCTTGTGCTCAAAATAAAATTCCCTATACCACCAGGCTTGAAATTTTAGGTCTGGATAGCCTCGAACTACGCCGTCTACGTTCTGACCTATGCTTAGTTCATAAGATTATTTACCAAAATGTCCTACCTGTAAATGAGTACTTTAATTTCAACCGTAATAACACAAGGGCTATCAATAGATTCAAACTCAATGTAATTCGCTCTAATCTTGATTGTAGGAAATATGACTTCTGCAATAGAGTAGTAAATGTCTGGAACACTCTACCTGATCCTGTTGTTAGTCTCACTAATCCCCATACCTTTTACCTTAAACTGTCTACCGTGGACCTTTCACATTTCTCAAGAGGTCCCTAAGGGGGTGTGCATAAGCGCACCAGCATACCTATAATGCCTGTCTTACTGTCCCCATTTATATGTAATCATTCTATGTGTTTATGGCATTCTATATGTTTTGCCTGTTTATATCCTTTTATTTGTGCCAATTTTTTTCATGTGTCCATGTCTATGTCTATTCTGTTACTTGTTTCCTTGTACTTGTGACAAATAAATAAATAAATAAATAAATAATAATAATAAAACCTTGAAACTGTCATGAAGCCACTTTCTGCCTGAAACCAAAGCCTTTGAAAGTTTACAATCAATTGCCATTACAAGCTAATATGAGTCAGGCCTGTTCCCTATGACTTATGAAATACCAATTTTTCCTCATCTAGTAAACCATGTGGGCTTGTTCGGTTTAATTCTGATAGTGCCAGAAAATGCACATCCACACATTCTTTTTCTATGCCCATTTTTCATTTATTTTACTGGAAAATTAATCTTTGATTACTTTTTCATACAGGAGCCATATATTCTCTTTCTGCAGTAATTGTGCTTACAAATCTTGCTTCTTTTTCTGCTTTCCTTATCAAAATCCATACTTTTTTCCCCCACACATTCAAACCAGGGGTGAAATCCAGCAGGTTCTGACAGGTTCTGGAGAACCGGTAGAGGAAATTTTGAGCAGTTCGGAGAACCGGTAGCAGAAATTTTGAGTAGTTTGGAGAACTGGCAAATACCACCTCTGGCTGGCTCCTGAGTGGGGTGGGAATGGAAATTTTGCAGTATCCTTCCCCTGCCACACCCACCAAGCCACACCCACCAAGCCACACCACACCCACCAAGTCACGCCCACAGAACCGGTAGTAAAAAAAATGGATTTCACCCTCACACCAGTCATTTCCTTCACTAACTCCCTTGATATTTCATCATAATTAAATCAATGAGACTTTGATTTAAATTCAGAAGAGACTGGACAGGGATAGACTACGGATGCTTGAGCAGGGGGTTGGACTAGAAGACCTCCAAGTTCCCTTCCAGCCCTATGTGTCTATGATTCTCACCATCCTGCTAAAACAGACTGATGTCAAAGTTACGTATATCTTGGTGACTGCAACCTTATCTTATCACATTTTCTGCTACAAAATGGTCTTTCTCTTGTCTTTTCAGCCAGCTCCAGTGAAAAAGAAACGCCCTCCAGTAAAAGAAGAAGATCTCAAAGGAGCTAGAGGAAAACTGTCTGGTAATCAAGAAATCAAATCCAAGACCTATCAAGTCATGAGGGAGTGCGGTGAGTGATGCTTTTACATCATTTTCATGCTGGATTTATTGCTACAATGACAGCTGCTTCTGGTTTTTGTCTTCTTGTGACCCTTCGGGGTCCCAGTTCTGCTTTTAAATGCTATTCGTGTTATATTGTCTTTGAATTGAATTCACTGAAATAGCCTAAGTCCTAATAATGAAAATTAAAAACAGAAGTCTTGCCTTGAAATAAAGTATAATGGAGAACCTTCAACCTTTTTGACTGATAATATTAAACAAATCGCTTGGCCTACCATGCCATGGGATATGGAGTAGAAAATAAAATAAGGAATAGACTGCTTCACAAATTTAGCCTGAGGACAAAAGCTTCTAGGTGCTTATATCTGTTTTTAGTTCCAACAACCACTACAACTCTCCTGGGGTTGGAAAGGACACCTCCAATTCACTCTCTCTTCACTTCTGACAAGCTGCCAATAACCACATAACTTCCTTACCAAAAAGAGTAAGGAAACCACCATACCAGGTCTTTCCCATATATATCATTGCCTGTTGTAGCAGCTGTTTATCTCTACAATTTTCTTTCCAATTCCAAGTTTGTTTTTCGAACAGAAGTATATGAACCATATGATCACATATTTTTATATTCCTACACACAAACATAAGAGCAAAAGGCCTTCTCTTCATATCCTGGTAACTGCTTCCTGTAGACGGCCCATTAAATATTTTAAAGAATACAGATTCATGGCATCACCTTAGTCTAATTCCCAGCACACTGCAGAGACAGCATACATCTGCTTACAAAACGGTTTTAATAATTAAAATGGTGTTTCCTCTCTTTTCCCAACACAAGTCTTCCGAACTCTGCTCACTGTCATTTTTGCCCTCATGACTTTTTGTTTGGACTACTACAATATGGTTTATACGGGATTGCCCTTGAAGAGCATTTGGAAGCCTCAGCTGGTACAGAATTCAGCTGCACTGCACAGTAAATAATGTTGGCTATTCAACATATAAAACACCACTGCTTCGGGAGCTGTATCAGTAGTGGGATTCATATCCTGTTGCTACCAGTTCACTCGTGGGCCCGCATGTGCTTGTGCGCACGCGTGCCGCTTCTGCACAGAGACATCCAAGCGGGTGGGCAGAGCCTGCTGCCACCACTACCGGTTTGCCCAAACCGGGGTGAAATGGTAGAAACCCACCACTAGGCTGTATGGGTTGCAAGTGTATTTCTGGATACAATTCAAGGTGCTGGTTGATTGTCACCTTTAAAGCCCTTCATGGCTGGAACCAAGTTATCCAAAATACTATCTTTTTCCGGTTGTATCCACCCATCTAATCCAGTCTGGTAGAATAGGCATGTTCTGGGTTCTGTCAGCCAACAAATGTCAAGGAGACATGCATTCTATGTCACAATGACTGCCCTCTGGAGCATCCTCCCTCCTCAGATTAGGGGTGCCCTGACCGTATTGGCTGTTTGGAAGGCCTTGAAGACCTGGCTCTATGCCTAGGGTCCCAAGTGGCATTCTTAGCTACATTGACTCCAACAGATTATAATAACTCTGGAAATGCTACCAGTTCGCTCCGGTTCACGCAAACTGGTAGTGATAAAAACTACCGGTTTGGGAAAACTGATAGTAAAAATATGCTTTAATAAGTAAAAAAAGAGGTTCTGACAATCACAGCTGTGCTGCGCGATCATCGGAACCTTTTTTAAAACTTTTTTAAAGCATTTTTACTAAAAGGTAGTAAAATATGCTTTTAAAAAGTAACACAAAAGTTTCTGACGATTGTGTGGCACAGCTGTGATCGTCAGAACGTTTTAAAAAACTTTTTTAAAGCATTTTTTTACTACCAGTTCAGGCAAATACATAGTAAAATTGCTTTAAAAAGTAAAAAAAAAGTTGACCATGCCCACCCAGTCACACGACCACCACCACCAAGCCATGCCCACCAAGCGATGGCCACAGAACTGGTAGCGAAAAATTTCGCATTTCACCAGTTCTCTTGACTGCTATTTGCATTGAATTTCTTTTTATATTGTGTTTTAAGTATTCAGATCATTTTTAAGATTGTTTGCTACCCAAAGTTACTGGTTTGAGATGGGTGGCTTTACAATATGAATGAATGAATGAATGAATGAATGAATGAATGAATGAATGAATGAATGAATGAATGAATGAATGAATGAATGAAGTCTTACCATAGGAACAATCTACAGTGTCTCATTGATGATGCAGTGCATCATATGGTCAGGGGCTCAAATGCTCAGATCCCACTGCCATTTTAGACTCTGTGGGCAGGGAGCTGGGGCATTGTTTGCCAGGGTAATTCTGATTTTGGCAACCAGAGAATCTGTTGTTTCAAACTCTCCCTACATACACTAATGATTCATCTGTCCCCACTTCTCCTGTCAGACTTGACAGTACAACCCCAGGCTGTCTGGGGTCAGACAGATGGCAAGAGGAGGTAGAGGGAGTCAGCTCTTTCCCAACTAGATCCCTAATCATATGGACCTAGCTGAGAAAGGGTGGGTGTCAGGGTTCCAAGTAATAGGTCCCATTCAATAAGAACTCCGAGGTAGGCAAATTCCTCAAAGAACATTTTATTAGGACATATCAAATTGGCAACTTCTGGGTGGAAAACCGGTTCTAAGTCAGTGCCGGTTTTCGCCCCCAATTAAAAGTAAAACTTCATCACTTCTCCCCATAGTTTCAGTCACATGATCCAATCAGCATAGTCCAGTTGCAAAATGACTTCAGTCTCTGCCCTGCAGACACCTGCACGAACGTCCTTGATTCTCAGGAGAAATAATGCTATTTAGGCTACAACACCCCGGCTAATCTCTACACCCCTCCTCCCTGGCCCCTTCACTCCAGGCTGTGTCAGTCCTGAAGCCGTGAGAAAAGAAACCTCCCTAGAAACTACACAAAAAAGAAAATGTCCACAGTTCAGCCAATTTAGGGTTGACAGTGGATTCCCTGCAATGAGCATTGGTCAACCCCAGTCAGAAGCAACTGAACCATGAATGCAGAAAGGATGTTCACTGAAAGAAAGAGATTCTTGCTTTACTGCACTGTCCTGCCCCTGCCTCCCCCCTCCAATCAACTGGAATACCTGATTCATAGGGTGGGTTGGGGTTGGGCAGTTTCCAGCTCTACTGCAGCCCCAAGTCACCCCCTGAAGCAAATCTGAAGCTTATAGATTAGCCTCCTTGCAGATTAGGTACAAGTCTAATGCTGACTAGTCTGGGAAAAGCACGTGCATCTTCAGCTAAGAAACTTCCTTCCCACTTCGCAATCTTTGCCCCAACTGCCTTCGCCCCCCACCCCAAGGGAATTTAAATAGAACTATTCCAGAGCAGTATGAAACCTTGAAGGTAGCTGCAAAAAAATCCTTTGCCCAAAACTAGAGCGTGGTTTGTTCGATGGTTCGACCCACTAGTCTAGTCAACTATTAATTGCCCATAAGGGAGCAATTAGTGGATACCTAGCATGCTTGGTAAGAAGGAAAACAAAGCTAAAAGAATTCACCCACCATTTTCCTTAATTTGTCCTGCATTAAAACCCCAAAGGCAGCACTTTCCCCAGCTTCCTTATTGAGCCTGCATAGAGAGCCAATGCAAAGCATGCCAGCCTACTTTTCTGCCAGATCATAAGCTTAAAATATTGCATGCTTTAAAAGGAGAGCAGAAAAATAAGAAAAAAAACCATAAATAGTCAAGAGATTTACAAGCATCATAAGATTAAGTAAATGAGGTACACATTCTTAGAAGAAGGTTTAATTAGGCTTTCCTGTATTTACATATCTTATGCCATTTTAAGGGTGTGGATCATTACTAAAATGAAATTAATATTTGAGTAGGAGCTGTATGTAGCACACTATGAAATATGAGTTAAAATGGTTTGTTACAGCCTTGTCTTTTATTTTTTTTCTTCCTAGCATTTTTCCGCAATTGCAGGATCTACTTTTTATTTTAAAAAATTCATCCTTTGGTTGCAACAGGAATTGACCGACTGGCTTGACACCTGAGATTGACAATGTGGGCTGAGAGAAAGTGGTTGGCCCAAAGTCACCCAGCCAGCTTTCATGGCTCAGGTGGAATTAGAACTCACAGACTCCTGGGTTTTAGCCTGGTGCCTTAACTACATGGCCACACTAGTCCTACCCTTATTACAGCTTTACCTCGTCAATAGGAAATATGTCCTTATTTAACAAATCATCTCTGACTAAATGCAAAACATTTATGTTAAGAAAAACCCAGAATTGGGATATAGGAGAAGGAACCCAAAGGCAAGGTCGTTTGCAGAAAAAGTCCCCTGTTCCTTTCTTCCTGTAATGCCCATGGGAAAAAAAATCAGAGGTAGCCAGAACACTACTGTCCAACTCACTCTCCTTACAATCAGTGGTACCTTGTAACAATTCTTTAATCACAGAATTATTTTCTGAGAGAAACAGCTTCCCAAGATAGACAACAGTCATGTTTCACGTCAAAATTTTGCGCTGGTTTTTCTTAGGCATTTATGAAATTTACAGATATAATCAGGAAAAAATAAGGAAAACTATTTAAAAAGCAAGTTGTGTATACAGGGAAAAAATTAAGTAACATTAATATAAATCTACATATTAAAATATTTATTATGAATTTGAAAGCTGAAACATATACAAAGTCTCCTTAAAAGCAATAATTAAATATTAAGTCTTACAGCACAAATCCTAAACAAGCTCATTGGTCCCCTGGATTAGTATACAGATTGTGAAAAAAATGAAAAAAAAATGCTAATTAGTGTATTGATTATTTAAAAATGAAAACTTGGGGGCGAAGTATATAATATGAAAACTGCAAGTACAGTTTTATTGGGCTCTGACCAGTCAGAAGTTTCCACTATGCACTGCGGGATGTTTTTGGAGAAAATGGTAAATCTCCTGAATAAACATAATCTTCCAAAGTTTCCCTCATCCAGAGGCACAGATTCTTAAAATAACTCAGGAATCATTTATCCCCAGTCATGAAAAGGGGACACATAAAACACATTCCCCTGAAGAGACACTGCTATCACCATACTGAGAGCCAAGGTGGCGCAGTGGTTAGAGTGCAGCAATGCAGGCTACTTCAGCTGACTGCTAGCTGCAGTCACGGGCTCAAGGTTGACTCAGCCTTCCATCCTTCCGAGGTGGGTAAACTGAGGACCCAGATTGTTGGGGGCAATATGCTAACTCTGTAAACTGCTTAGAGAGTGCTGTAAAAGCACTATGAAGCGGTATAAAGGTCTAAGTGCTATTGCTATTGCTATACTGAGCTGTCATCTTTTTTATTTTATTTTAAAAACATGAAGCTTTTAATTGCAATAGTTCTCTGCTTCTTATACCTCTGGATCTTTATAAACAGAGCTTCAGTGATGAAGCCTAAGGAACCCTCTGAAATTTTCCACTGAATTCAACTTTGAATAAATGCATTACATAAATGCAAAGATTAACAACTACCAAAAATTAACTCATTTTAATTAAATCAAATTGGGCATTTGCTCTGTTTGCCCCATTGGTGGATTTAGTCCCACCTGCTGATTAGAGTGCAGCCCGGAATATCCTCTTCAAAGTGCATCAGAAACAGATTGCATGTTCCTACTTTGAAACATACATGATATAGACTCTGGTATTGTTGTGCTTATTATGTTATCCTTGAGTTTGTCATAACTGTGACTGTTTGTGAACCATTCTTGCTGAAGCATTATCAGCTACTCTTCTTTTTCCAGAACAATCTGGCTCTGCTGCTCCGTCTGTCTTCGGCCGAGAACGCACCGGAGGAGAAACCGTCTTTGACAAACCAAAATCAGAGCCTTCAAAAAGTGTCTTTGGCTGACAGCCATGAATATTCCCAGCATCCTTCATTGCTTGTCTTGTTTGTCCCATACATCAGTCTTATTATTGGGCTTCTAACTTAATTCTTCAGGCATGAATCAGCAAAAGAACTTGAATTGAAAGACGTCTTTTTTTTCCATATATTCGGTGCAATTTTTTTTCTTAGCTATCCAATAGTTAATTCAAGTTATGGAGTGCAGGATGATATTGTAATGACCAATTTTGTTAACAAAAATGCCCCCCCCGGGATTCTTCTTTTTTAAAGTTAATGTCCCAGTTCTAATTGTAATTATTGTGTAAAAGAAAATAAAGCTGGATGATTTTGACTTTTGATTATCTTATTTTTCACTTGCAGTATAGTCAGGGAATATAAATGTAAGTTACTTATATCATCATTTCTGCACCACAAATTATTTATTTATTTATTGGTTCGATTTATATGACGCCCTTTTCCGGAGACTCAGGGCAGCTTACAATGCGTTAAGCAATAGCCTTCATACTTTTGTATATACCTGCTTAGTAGGGCTTTTGCCCCCCCCCCAAAGCGGTGTTCTTTTTTTATACAAAGTCAGCTTATTGCCCCCACAATCCGGGTCCTCATTTTACCTACCTCGAAAGGATGGAAGGTTGAGTCAACCTTGAGCCTGGTGAGATTTGAACTTGCAGTAATTGCAGGCAGCTGGTATTACTTAACAGTGCTTTAGTCTGCTGCGCCACCAAGGCTCAATTTGGTATGGAGTCTGTTGATTTCTGTGGAAATGGTAATGTCTTTCTATGGGAGAGCAACAAAGCTGAGTCTGGTTAAAATCTTGCTGGGACAAAACAACAGCCCAAGAGCTTTTTTTTAACATTAACAATTATTCCTTCAGGAAAAAAAAAACCCTCTTCCCAAAATAAGAAACTTTCATCTTAACGTGATCCTGAATTGCTGCCTCATAGACTGAAAAGAGTACTTCAGACTAGAATAGAAAGACTGGAAGGGACCTTGGAGGTCTTCTAGTCAAACCCTCTGCTCAAGCAGGAGACCCTATACCCATACGTGATGTCGAACCTATGGCACAGGTGCCACAGGTGGCACGCGGAGTCATATCTGTGGGCACGTGAGCATTGCTCTAGCTCAGCTCCAGTGCGCATGTGCGCACCAGCCAGCTGATTTTTGGGCCTTCCAGGCCCATTGGAAGTCAGGAAATGGGTCGTTTCCGGCTTCTGGAGGGCCTCTGGGGGGTGGGGAAGGCTGTTTTCACCCTCCCCAGGCTCCAAGAAAGCCTCTGGAGTCTGGGGAGGGCAAATAATGGGCCTACCGGGCCTATTGGGCCCACCTTTAATCTTTTTGCCATCATGTGCCAAAAGTGGGGGTAGCGCAGGGGGTCGTATGCGCATGCGCGGGGGTGCGGGGTGTCATTGAATTATGGGTGAGGGCATGCGTGCACGCAACCCCCCATGCTCCCCACACTTTTAGCACGCGATGGCAAAAAGGTTAGCCATCACTGCCCTATACCATTTCACACAAGTGGCTGCCCAGTCTCTTTTTAAAGACCTTCAGTGATGAAGCACAACTTCTGAAGGCAAGCTGTTTCACTGGTTAATTATTCTCACTGTTAGGATGTTTCTCCTTAATTCCAGGTTGCTTCTCTCCTTGATTAGTTTCTATCCATTATTTCTTGTCCTGCCCTCTGGTGTTTTGGAGAATAATTTGACCCCCTCTTCTTTGTGGCAGTCCCTCAAATACTGAAATACTGCTATCATGTCACCCCTAATTCTTCTTTTCTTTAGACTAGCCAAACCCAAATCTTGCAGCCATTCTTTGTATGTTTTCGTCTCCAGGCCTTTGATCATTTTAGTTGCTCTTCTCTGAACTTTATCCAAAATCTCAACATCTTTTTTGTAATGTGGTGACCAAAACTGAATGCAATATTCCAAGTGTGGTGTTACTAAGGTTTTATAAAGTGGTACTAATATTTCACGTGATTTTGATTCTATGCCTCTGTTTATAGAACCAAAGATTGTATTAGCTTTTTTGACTGTTGCCGCACACTGCTGACTCACCTTTAAGTGATCGTCCACTAGGATTCCAAGGTCCCTCACACAGTTACTGTTTTTGACCCACATTTTATATTTCTTGTATGTACAAAATTCCTGGACATTCTTCATCTTTGCCAGTGCAAACCTTGCTAAAAATCATCTTGTTACACACAGTGATGCCTGTTAAAAGGGTCAAGAAAGCGAGTGTAAAGTGGTATTTCTAGAGCTATCAAGGGAAGGTTCAGATAGAGTTTAACAATCTTGCTTCTAAACCAGGGGGTCATCATCACGTGACTTATTGGGACTTTTCCCTCCTTTGCTAAACCGGGGGTGGACATGGCCAGCACGTGATGCAACTGGCCTTGAGTTTGACATTCCTGCTCTAAACAAAAGAATTACTGCCTTGAAATAACTACCTATAGAGGATGAGAGAAAGTTTGGAAATGGAACGAACTCAAAGAAAAAATATGATTAGCTTTTAATTAATTTCCCCCAGGTCAAAGTCATTACCCAATTCAAGGACAATGGTGCACATTTGTATATGTGAAATAAGTATCACTGAGATCAATTTATTATTATGGTTTGTCACAGTCAGCCAGATGTTCGGACTGGATTTGGCAATTTATTCACTTACTGAGTCCTTCACAAGGACTGGGATTTGCAGATGTTGTTGTATAATAATAATAATAAAGGTATTGTCACAGGATGTAAGCTGTTCCAAGCCTTTTTGCAATTGATTGATGGTGATTTGTCAATGGTTACGGTATTCAAGTGGTACTCCAGATGTTTTGGCATTACACCCAAGGAATCTATTTGTTTAGATGCTATCTTTCCTTTCTTTTTCCAGAGTCATTCTATTTCTATAAGCAGTTCTTTATATTTTCTGATCACGCCCCCCCCCCCAGTTTTTTCTCTTCTATAGATATTCTCCTATATCCAAGTATTGCAATGTTCATTATTCAGGCTTTTTCCATCTTTCTAATCAACAGTTAATTCAGGGGTGTTATTTGGCAGGTGCTTGTTTGTTTGAATGTTAAAGGTCCAGAGCATTTTAGCTTCCTCATTTTCAAATACTTTGTTATTTTGTGGTCCCACCAATTCTTACTTGCAGACAAATGGAATTTCTTAAAGATATTCCAATCCACTGTTTTTGGTATTTTGTCATGCCATTGTTTGAAATTAGTCTGTGTGAACTTTTTGGAGAAGCTACTACATCGTTCACTGTTTTTTCAGCATTGCAGATGGCATTTCCTGCCTGTTGGTGTCTTCTTCTTCTTCTCCTCCTCCTCCTTCTTCTCCTCCTCCTCTTCCTCCTCCTCCTCCTCCTCCTCCTCCTCCTCCTCCTCCTCCTCCATCATCATCATCATCATCATCATCATCATCATCATCATCATCATCATCAACAACAACAACAACATCTCATCCCTGTGCAAATTGGAACTTTGGAGCACTACTGTACTGCTACTATTTTTTATCTCCTGACTTTCTCAAAAGTAGCCTGATATTGAGTTGCCATTGCCTAGTGCTGCTATTTCTCTAAACACTACGAACACCATGAGGCAACCTTTGCTCTCTTACCTGACCAATTTGAGTGCAGAAAACAGCATTAAATCCATGTCCTGCCTTTTGATCATGTTCTTATTTGTACAGTGAGTTCTCAAAAATTGGTGCCTCTAAGAGGGCAGCTGCAGAGCTGTCAGTTCCCTGTCCCTTTGTTGTATTTTTAAAGAGTTGTGGATTCTTTAAAACAACCCCTTGACAAGGTGCTACAGTAATTGAACTGCTACAGTGCATAAAATGAGAAGTTGGACTGAGGAGGCAGAGAAGACATGAAATTTCCCATCACTAAGAGGTTTGCTCTACCTTCAAGCTCTCCAAAGGGTCTTCACAGCAACAGGTACTGTATGATGAAAAACACAGAGCTGTACTTGGAAATAAATCAGCTCAACTCTTGATCTCTGATGACATCTAAGAATCACAGTAGTCTGGAGCAAATTTCAATATGGTAAAGAATCACTGCATGAACTTGCTTTTAACATATTTTGGTATATATGATCTCATAAACTGGAATTTTCATATAAATATATGAAAACAAGCAATGCCTGATTAAGACGTCACATTAAGAATAAGAATTTATTTGCTTCTGAGTCTACTCAGTAGCTTCTTCCTTCCTTCCTTCCTTCCTTCCTTCCTTCCTTCCTTCCTTCCTTCCTTCCTTCCTTCCTTCCTTCTTTCCTTTCTTCTCCCCTCCCCCCTCTCTCTTTCTCTCTTTCCGTCCCTCCCTCTTGGTATCTACTAGCACATGAGATGGATTCAGATTATAGTTGCCAGGCACATATCTCAGTTTCCATCAACATCACTTGTTCCATATGGACCATGGGTGAAGTATTACTCCATACAGTTTCCTCAGACTTTTTCCTTGTGTCTCCCTGCCCATGACAGGAACTTTCCCAGAATCTTTCCTTAATGGCATGTCCTCATAACATTTCCTTTGTCTCATGCCAGAGCCCACAGCAAATAGATTTTTTTTTTTACCACTTTCAGTTTTAAAACAGTTGTTTCCTTCTTTCTGAAAGATATTTTTTGGAGGAAAATTTAGCATGGTTCATTAAAATGAGATCAGCATTTAGACTGATGCAGGCATGATCCCCTCCTCTTGTCCCTGGATATCACCTTCATTGCCATTTTGATTTGACTTGTATCTACTAGCGCATGAGAAAGATCGAACACCTGGCTTCTGCAGAAAAAGCTGCCTGGGTAAAGTCTGATTGGTGCTTCCTGAAGTGCTTGTCCAGCCTTATACAAATTCTTTACAATACAAGTGCTTAACCCTCTCTTGAAAGAGCATGAGTCTAGTGCTCTCTTGAGATATAGTGGTACTCTTGGGTATATAGCAGGTCTTTTTAAATCAGGAAGTCAGACAGGTTCTTCCACTTTTACGATCTTTCCCCTGCCACCAATAAATAGGCTTTCTGCTGCGTCTGTTATCAAAGAGCTTTGAATAACAGTGCTTTTTAAGTGTTTTGATTTGCAATAATGGCAAATATCTGGCGAAACATATTTAGTGTTTTGATGAGGTTAGTACCATATTGGCTGCTTTACAAATTACTTAACAGGATAACAGAGTTGGACGGGTCCTTGGAGGTCTTCTATCCCACCCCCCTGCTCAAGCAGGAAACCTTACACAATTTCAGACAAATGGTTGTCCAATCTCTTCTTCTAGGAGTAAAGAGGAGTAAAGAGTAAAGATTACTTCTAATACTAGTCCTCACTCTATATTCACCCTCTCTGATCAATTAGTCAG